AATTCCTTTTTTTTTTTGGTATCGGGAATCGAACTCAGGTCCTTGTGCTTGCGAGGCAGGTGGGAGAATCACTGAGCTAAATCCCTGGCCCCCTTTTTTTTTTTTGAGACGGTATCACTGTGTAGTTCAGGCCTCCTTGAACTTGCCATGCGGTCCAGGCTGACTTTGGACTTGCAGTGATCCTCCTGCTGCAGCCTCTTGAGTGCTGGGATTATAGACGTGCCCCACCATTACAGCCATAGTCCCATTTGTAGATTCTTGATGCTGTTTCTTGTGCATCTGGGGTTCTGTTCAGAAAGTCCTTGCCTATGTTTTTGTCTTCAAGAGTTTTACCTATTTTATCTTCCAGAAGATTCTTTTTTATTATTTAGGTCTTTGATCCATTTTGATTTTAGTTTAGTGTATGGTGAGAGAGGTGTGTCTACATTCAGTCTCCTGCATAGGGGGAGAGCCCAGTGACCTGTGCTTAATGACTTCTCATTAGTTTTTTTTTTTGGTACCGGAGATTGAACTCAGTACCATGCACTTGTGAGGCAGGTGGCAGAAACACTGTGCTAAATCTCTGGCCCAGACTGTTATATGCATGTTTGGACATTTTTTGTTGTTGTTGTTTTTGGGTTTTTTTGGGTTTTTTGGGTATTTTGGTAGCGGGGATAGCTTTGATTACTTTGTATAGTTACTTCCTAAAAGTTGATTTTTAAAATCAGTTGAAGAAAAAGTAGAAAATAATGTGAATTTTAAGAGATGTGAGTCAGGCATGGTGGCACATGACTGTGGTCCCAGCCTTTCGGAGGATGAGGCAGGAGGATCAGCCTAGGCCACATAGTGAGTTGAGGGAGAGGGAGGGGGAGGGGGAGGGAGATACAGCAAGATGCCCTCTCTTGAAAAGGGAAAACAAGGTAGAAAATGTTAATGCAGCCACAATGGAAAATGATTTTGTTTTCTTCTAGAATTTCCAATTTTGTTTAAAATTGCTAACTTTTCTCAGTTTCAGAGTTTTGCCTTAAGTGAATTTGGAATGCATTTATTATTCATTCACAAGTACCTGTTGAATGTATACCTTAGGCCAGGCTCTGAATGTCCCCTCATTTCTGCTTGGACTTTCCTGTTGGGAAGGGCCTGGTCTGCAGTGTGTACCTGGTGCCCAGTTAGTTCCACAGTGGCTGAGAGTGTCACTGAAAAACGAAGTCAGTCACCATGGAAGGAACGGCATCCCTGTGTTCCTTTCGATCTGTGCAGTTTCCTTTTTCTCAAGAGTTACTTGTTTACTTCAGTTCTGTCACTGTCAGACTCTCAACTGATGAGTCTCGGGAAAAATCACATTTGGCACATGCACTGAACTTGTAGATGACTTTCCATTTTCAGACCACACTCTTTATATATGTTCTGTATTACTGTGTATCTGAATAGAGTTGTATAGTCCTGACTGTTACTTTGGAATGTTCATTTTAAGTTTGGAGTAAGAGTATTTAAATAAATTGTCCATTTTAAACTATAAGTGCTGAATTTTGTAATGTACCTTATAAGTTTTATTAAATATATTAGTTGAGGTTAGAGTCTGATCGCCACAAACCAGTGAGTGTCTTCTTACATAAATGTATGTTATTTCTGAAAATTTTTATGGAATAATAAAGAGTACGTAACTCTATTCTTTTTTTTTTTTTTTTTATTTGGGATCAAACTCGGGTCCTTGCACTTGCAAGGCAAGTGGTGGAACCACTGAGCTAAATCCCTGGGCTCAACATTACTCTATTCTTGATCTGTTTTGCAGGATCTTTGACAGCAGTTGTGTGTCTTCCCAGATGCCTCTCCTCACCTCCATCAGGTATGCTTCCACATATGATGACGTCAAAGAGATGGAATAGGCCTGATTCTATTTTTCCTCTTTTTTATCAGTATATCTGTTAGTGATACATAGTAAATACATTAATTGTGGGTGAATTGGTACATACACGTATCACATTCTGATCCTTTTTACTTCTCTCCCTGTCTGCCCCTATTCCCAGGATGTCTTCCCATCCTTTTAAAGAACAAGCAACTTTTTGATTCATTGTTCTTTCGTGTATTTTTTTTGCAAAACATTAATTGCTACATTTTAGATATACATAATGATCACATTCATTGTAGGGAATTTGTACCTATACATGATATATCTTGGTTCTTTTTTTCGCACCCCCTTCTTTGACCCCTCTTCTCCTCCTTATTTACAAAATCTTTCTTTCCATTTTTTCCTTCTGTTCTCTTTTTTGCTTGGCCCTTCTTTGCTCCTCCTCCCTTATTCCCCTTCTCATTTGCACATTTTTCTTCCCATTTCCCAATATCTATTATACATTTTGGTCCTTATTTACTTTTTAATACCACAGAAACAATGGAGTATTTACATATGTGAGTCCTATTTATTTCACTGAATAGTATGGTCTCAGGCTTGGGATGTAGCTCAGTGGTGCCGCACCTGTCTGGAAAGAGCAAGGTCCTGAGTTTGATCCCCAGCACTGAAAACAGAAAAGAGCGTGGTCTCAAGGTGCATCCATTTAGGTAGAAATGTCTTGGGCTGGGTCGGGGATTTAGCTCAGTGGTGCCGCTGCCTGCTTCGCAGGCAAAAGACCCCGAGCTCAGTCCCTGGTACCAAAAAAAAAAAAAAAGAAATGTCTCAAGCTTATCCTTCTTTATGGCAGAGTCGTACTCCATTGTATAAAAAAACCACATCTTTATTCACTGGTTGGTTGATGGGCAGTTGGATTATTTCCAAGATTTAGCTAGTACAAACTGTGTCACTATAAACATGGGAGTGCATATATCACTGTGGTATGATGCTTTTAATTTCAGGAAGATACCAAGAAGGGGAATATCTGGATCGAATGGAACCTCTAGTTTTAGTTTTTGAGGAGTCTCCGCACTGATTTCCACAGTGGTTGCACCAGTCTACACTCCCACCAACAGTGGGGTTCCTTTTTCCCCACAGCCCTGCCAGCATTTGTTATTGGTTGATTTCTTTCGTTTGTTTTTTTTGGTACTGGGGATCGAACTCGGGTCTTTGCCCTTGCAAGGCAGGTGGCGGAACCACTGAGCTAAATCCTCAGCCTGTTATTTGTTGATTTCTTGATAGCCATTCTCTCTAGACTGAGGTGGAATCTCAGCATTGTTTTAATTTGCATCTCCTGAATGACCAGTGATGTTGAACATTTTTTTCATATATTTATTTGCTGTTTCTACTTCATCTGAGAAATGTCTTGTCATTTCAGATTCCCATTTTTGGATTGAGTCTTTAAATTTGGGGATCTGAGGTTTTTTTGTTTTTTTTTTTGGTACCAGGGATTGAACTCAGTACCTTGCGCTTGCAAGGCAGGCAGTGGCACCACTGAGCTAAATCCCTGGCCCTAAGCTCATCCTTCTTTATGGCAGAATACTACTCCATTGTATTAAAAAGCACATGTTCTTTATCCATTCGTCAGTTGATGGGCATTTGGGCTGTTTCCAAGATTTAGCTATTACAAACTTTTCTTCTCTAAACATAGGTGTGCATATATTGCTGTGGTATGATGCTTTTAATTCTTTCAGGAAGATAGCAAGAAGAGGTGTAGGCTGGGTCAAATGGAACCTCTAGTTTTAGTTCTTTGAGGTATCTCCATACTGATTTCCACAGTGGTTGCACCAGTCTGCACTCCCACTAGCAGTGGAGCAGGGTTCCTCTTTCCCCACAGCCCCGCCAGCATTTGTTATTGGTTGGTTTCTTAATAGTAGCCATTCTTTCTGGAATCTCAGCATTGTTTTAATTTGCATCTCTCAAATGACCAGTGATGTTGAACATTTTTTTCATATATTTGCCATTTCTAATTCTTCATCTGAGAATTGTCTTTATTTCAGATGCTCATTTTTGGATTGGGTCTTTAAATTTGGGGGTTTGATTTTTTTGAGTTCTTTATATATTCCAGATAATAGTCCTTTATCTGAATAGCTGGTAAAAAGTTTTTCCCACTCTGTGGGTTGTCTCTTCACTCTGTTGGTGGTTTCTCTTGGTGTACAAAAGCTTTTTATTTTTTTTATTTATTTTTTTTTGGTACCGGGAATCGAACTCGGGTCCTCAGCTTGCGAGGCAGGCGCCAGAACCACTGAGCTAAATCCCTGGCTCTACAAAAGCTTTTTAATAAGATGAGGTTTCTTGGGCTCGGGATTTAGCTCAGTGGTTTCGATGCCTGCTGCGCAAGCGCAAGGACTGGAGTTTGATCCCCGGTACCAAAAAAAAAAAACCAAAAACAAATAAGATGAGGTTCCAGTTGTTGATTCTTTGTAGTAGTTCTTGCGCTGGTCTGGGCTTTGTTCATGAAGTCTTTACCTACTCCTATGTCCTCAAGCATTGTACCTATTCCCTCTTCCAGCAGATTACGTGTTTCTGTTTTAATATTTAGAGCTTTGATCCATTTTGATTTTAGTTTAGTGCGTGGTGAAAGATATGGGTCTAGTTTCAATCTTTGGCATGTGGAAAGCCAGTTTTTCCAGCAGCATTTTTTTTTTTTGATGTGCTCACTAAGTAATTGATTTAATGAAGTTCCTATGAAACTATTAAACCTGGGTGGAGGTCAGGCTGTAGGCGCCCCAGGGCGCCCATTGTGGGCTGTTTAACTCCACCGGGCTCCCCGGAAAGACATCGGGGCTAATAGGTGAAGTCACAGCTGCCCGTGCTGACTTCCCAGAGCGCCCAGCCAGCCGCAGGCACCCTCACGCCTTCCTCCTGTCGCGCCCTTTTGCCCCGCCCCCGCCTGCCCCAGCCCCATGCTGGCCAGCTTACCCACACCACTCCCAGCCCTCCAGCAGCATTTTTAAAAGAGGCTATCTTTCTTCCAGTGAAGATGTTTGGCTCCTTTGTCAAAGATAAGGTAGTTGTAGGGTTGGGATTTAGCTCAGTGGCAACATGACTCCCTTGCAAGCCCAAGATCCTGAGTTCAATCCCCATACCAAAAAAAAAAAGATGAGGTAGTTGAGTACGTTTGGAGTTGTTTCTGCATCCTCTAGTCTGTTCCATTGATCCTCAGGTCTGTTTTTTCCCCCAGTACCATGCTGTTTTTATCACTGTAGCTTTGTAGTATAATTTAAAGTCAGGGATTGTGATACCCCTTGCTTTGCTTTTGTTGCCCAGAATTGCCTCTGCTATTCTAGGTCTCTTCTGGTTCCAAGTGAATTTTAGGATTGTTTTTTCTAATTCTGTGAGATATTCTGTTGAGATTTTGAATTGGATTGTATTGAATCTGTATAACAATTTTGGAAGTATGGCCATTTTCACTATATTGTTTCTTCCTATTCAAGAACAAGAGATATCTTTCCATTTTATGATATCCTGTTCAATCTCCTTTTTCAGAGTACTGTAATTTTCAATGTAGAGGTCTTTTATTTCCTTCATTAGATTGATTCCTAGGTATTTCATTTTTTTGCCTGCTATTGTGAAAAGGATTGTTTCTCTTAATTTCTGTCTCTGTGAGTTTGAGTCTGTTATTTGTATATAGGAAGGCTGTTGACTTTTTTTTTTTGGTCCCAGGGATAGAACTCATGATCTTGCACTTGTGAGGCAGGCACAATGCCACTGAGCTAAATCCCCAGCCCAAAGGCTATTGACTTTTGAATGTTGACTTTGTATCCAGCTATGCCACTGAATTTGGTTATCAAATCTAAAAGTCTTGGTGGAGTTTTTGGCATCTTCTCTGATGTTGACTTTTAGTTTGTTTTATGTAGATGGTTCTTATCAGATTGAGATAAAGACCATCTATACCAATTTTCTGTAGGATTTTTATCATGAATGGGAGTTGACCTTGTCAAATGCTTTTTCTGCCGTCTATTGAGATGATCATATAGTTTTTGTCATTGGCTTTGTTGATATAGTGTAATACATTTCTTGACTTGAGTATGTTGAACCTGCATCTCTGGGATGAATCCCACTTGGTCAGGGTGTATGATCTTCTTGACGATCTGCTTTCTGTTTGCCAGTATCTTATTGAGGATTTTTGCATCTATGTTCATTAGCGAGTGGGTTGATGCCTGTAAATTGCTTATGGTGAGTAGTTTTATTGTTAGTATTCAGAACCCTTGTGAAATGACTACTTCTCAGAAGTGTCTTCCAGGTATAGCTGGCTTTTGAGTTTTGAGTCTGTTGGAAGATCCTACCTCTTCTATTTATTGGTGATGAGAAGTTTCTGCCTACTTGTCCCAGCTGCCAGTTCTTTGGCACTGGCCTACAGGTGTTTTTTCCTTTAAGAATCTTAGGTAATCTCAGTCTTGGTATACCAGGAGAAACGACTGATTAGCACAATTAAGTCACCTTGGCTAAAGTAGTACAATCAACAATAACAATAACATCAAATACAGCCTAGAAAATGACAAATTACAGCAACTATTAATTTGCTGCCTTTAAGCATATGCACTAGATTTGTGGTTATATTACAAAATCTAGAATGAATCTGAAAGTTGTGTGCAATAAATAAGCCCTTAATATGGCAATTTTACTTTTAGAGAAGATTTAAAAGGGGCTAGGGTTGGGGCTGGGGCTCAGTGGTTCTGTCGCCTTCCTTGTAAGCGCCTGCCTTGAGTTTGATCCCCGGTACCAAAAAAAAAGGGGCTAGGGATAAAAACAGAAGTAGAAGAGGAAGAAATCAGAAGCAAGGCTGGAGGGCAAACTTTAGAAGACTGGTGAAGAAGACAGGTGAGAACGAGAAAAGGAAAAAATAAAAGCAAAAACAACAGGACAACAACAACAAAAAACTAGAAACTGTGTTACAACAACAACAGCAACAACAATAATAATAAAACAAACCAAGAACCAGAAAGGAGGAAAAAAAG